TGGAACACAGGATTTCTGTATTGCACTACCTCAAAATTCAAGCTTTTCAAGACAAACAAAACATTTATTCTCTTACAATACTTCGAAGTTGATAAAGCTTGGTTCGTTTGTTATGATAAACGTTCAAACGATCATCAATCAAAGTAAACGTGTGCATTTTCCAAACCATTGCTAAGCGTTTCGGGTAAAGTGCACTTAGAACGTACAAAGATCGCCAGCGTTTCGTTCAGAATATAGTAATGATAATAATGAGATTAATAATAATTGCAATAATAATAATGATAAGCACTTGTTGAATTCGGCTTTTGTATGATATCACGAATTGTCAAAACCGAGGTCTGAGTCATCTGCTGAAACCGAAGGCTGAGGCAGATAACACAGACACGAGGTTGGATAATTCAGGATATCATGCAAAAACCGAATTCCATGAGTGTTTTATCATAACATTTCTTAAACAATCTGCAAAAGAGAACACTTCTCTTTGAGTGCGCAAAAATTTGAGAACACTACACGGACGAGGGGCTTGGAGACTAGGCAGACTTTGAACTCGGCATGATAACCCAACATCTGCTGCAAATATTGGGCTATCATGGGATGATGTTCTAATGTTGGATATCGACACATGTTGAACATGTTCAATATTCGCTAGTTTTTATTGATTTATGCTGTCGATAAATCATATTTTCAAAATAAATCTAGGGTATAGAAAAAAATATATATATATATAGAGAGAATAATACATGGGCGCGCGTAGGTATGGAATTTCTCTTCGAGTGGTTAACTCGATAGCTTACGAGTAAGATGTCGAGTTCAATACGGGAAGAGAAATTCCATATCTACAAGCAATCATGTATTATTTTGTTTATCATATAAACACAATAGCCCTTTAGTGACAAGAAAAGCCGACTTCATTAATGAATAAAAAATAAATGAATCGACAATCCCCGAATAACAATCGTAGAGTGCGTTGGCGCTAACTCTTTTGATGGAAAAATGCGTTGAATCATGATTAAAAAAACAACAATGGTTGTAATTTTCAATTTACAATTTACCGACCGAAAAAATCTTTCAGGTATACGGCCAAAATCGGCTAGTGAAAAATCTTCCAGTTGTCGATTTTCATTCTCAGCCGAGAGAAATGCTAACACCAAAGCCACTGAATACGTAACTTTCGGTTTTTCTTTTGGTATATTGGTTTTCTTTCCCTTCTACAAACAACTTGTATTGAGAATCGTGAAGGCTTTGCCGTTCACTCATCAACCGCACCGAGTGGCGGCAAAGGCGAGTGACGTGTCACTAGCTGATTGGCCATATCAACACACGTGAAAAAATACGATATTTTTTCACGTTTTTTGTTACTGTTTTTCTCAGGGCCGAAAATCCCGGTATAACACCGCAGTTTATGTGATATATACATTTTGCCTTCACGATTCTCAATACAAGTTGTTTGTCGGAGCTTCTTCGAAACACTAAAAAATCTGTATTTCTGACAGACAGTGAGGTTCAAACTTTCCTAGAACATTTCCATGTCTACGCGCGCCCATGTATTACTCTCTATATATCGCACGAATCGCTCGTACATTTTGTGATTTATTACATCCATTTTGAAATCACTGGTGGTCCCTGTAATCTGATTGGCTCTAATTGGTGCGATTTATTCACGAATCGCACCATTTTTTGCCTTAAAGCGCATCTTTTTCCCAGCCAATGAGGAGGCTACACTAAAAACAAAACAACCAATTAGATTTCAAGGCTTGTTTAAAGTAGCCAATCAAATTGCAGGAAAATGAAAGATAAAGAGTATCATGTGGCAAATTTTGCAACTTTTGTTTCCAAAACTCTTACTTTTTCCCCCCCAAAAATGGATGAATTTAATTTCAGACCGGCTCAGTACTGCATCAATAAAATATTTGAATTGACCAAGTCCTGTATTTGGGCTATTTCAAAATGGATGTAATAAAGTGGTAATTGAACCTCGTCTCGTGCAATTTTGGTCTGAAATCATACTTGTGATTTCAAATCGAACTTGCGCTGCGCGCTCGTTCGATTTTGAAATCACGCATATGATTTGAGCCCAAATTGCACTCAGCTGCACTCCACTTAGTTCAATTACCATTATTTATGATGGCTCATTTAAAGCATCACTGATGTCCACACATTTCACGTACAGAATAATGCATACATCTTTCCGCAGTTGCCCAAACAGAAAGATAAGCCAAATTGTTTAGTATTGAATTTTTTCTTTTTTGTTATTTTGCAAACACTGATCATGAGGGAAAAGTTTGATGTGAGATAGAATTATATAAATTTAATTAGGGATCGCGTCTTTTACGTATCGCTGATAACATAACCTCACTCGTAAAGGAGTCACGTCTCTTGCTTGAGGCGCTATCATGAATTCAAATGACCGTAGGTTCATGTTCCTTAGCCTCGGTTAAAGTGGCGCACATGAGCAGTGCGAACGGGAATGTAGCAAAAATAATAGCATTCCAACACAACTTCCGAACGGCTAAACTAAGCTTAAAATTTGATAATAATAAAATGCTGCAAATTTGACAATGAAGTCATTCACCCCTGGGTAATAAGGTGCACAATGCAATCGATATGTACGTTAAGAGGAAATAATCGTCATAATCATATTAACTATGAAGCAAACAAATCAGCCACGGAAATGACGTTTGTTAGCGACACATGTTGGATACGTTCAAACGGCAAAATATGCAAGTAACTTTACAGCCACCGGTTAGTGAAAGTAATCATTTAAATAACATCAAATTCGAGAATAAAACAACAATTGATGTAGTCCTATTTATTCACATCCCTGTATTAAGTTACAAATTAAGTTATACTCATCAAAATATCATGATTCAAAGCTGAATCAGGTAAAGCTTGAACAATTACCCTGTTAATAATATACATGGAAAAGTTACTTATTTCTGATTGGTTAAGATAAATGCAGTTTTCAGGTAATTCCGTGCAGAAGAGAGTTAATTCAGTGCAGAAGAGGGTTAATTCAGTGCAAAGAAAGAAACAAATCAGACATTCTGATTGGTCAATAATCAAAGTAACTCACAGATAGCCAATCAAATGCGAGCCTTGGATGTCGCGACAAAATTTGAAAATTTGAAAATTTGCGAGCGAAACGATGGCCGGTGTTTTAAGTAGGCTTTCTTTCGCCACCGCAGCTGAAAAACAGCTTAAACAATGAAAAAACTGTAAAAAGCACTGCTTTTTGGTTGTCGGTTTGGAAAAAGTGGTGTTTAGAGAAGGGAATTGCCGAGGAAATCGAAAATTACGAGCCGACCCAGCTTAACACTTTGCTCGAGCGATCATACGCCGAAATTAAAAACAAACATGGTTAAACCTCAGAAACGACGATTCCATTTAATCGAAAGTGATCCGGACACAGACTGAACAATTCCTTGAACTGTTTAGCCGGACTTTGAACTTTTTTGCACCTTAAAGATGTGAAGATATCATTGCATAATTTATTATTATTTTGATCGTACGCGGTTGTTTTGACCGAACGCAAGGTTTGAATAAATGATTTTTGCACTTGACGCGAGCGCTTTGCTTATGTTTAATTATGATAAGCCATCTCGTATTTTTCGTATATTATTAACACGTAATCACATGATTTTTCTCGTGCAATTTGGAATAAACAAGCACTTGTTAATTTTTTCAAAGACCACAAATTGCACTCGCCCTACGGGCTCGTGCAATTTTGTTAGTCTTTAAAAAAATTTACTTGTGCTTATTTATTCCAAATTGCACTCGAAATCATGTGATTACCTATACGAATATTGTTAGCAAAAAAAGACAAAACGCCGTCTATGGTCTCTACGGTGATGCAACGTGGAGAAGGTCTCTCGATTAGAACTGTCGACTGAACTACAACATAAACGCAATATCTGAATTCAGAAAAATTTCTGAAAACCGAAAAACTATGGACATCAGCCCATTAGAAATGCGCAGGACTTCAAAGATGAGCGAGGAAGAAGCTAGAGCGTAGAGAGACAAATTTGACCATGTGCATTCTTATTATCAATATGGCGTTTTGGATTACAGCAGTTTATCAAGCTTCACAACAAGATTAAATCTCTTGATTCACCCAAGTAAGACCCGAAGGATCTAAGTATAACATTGTAATATTAAAGATATGTCATGTGAGATTGAAACAAACCTGGAAATTCAATCCTTTTATAAGTAGTCAAACTCCAGAATCGATAACCTCGAAGCTCAATAGTCCGCTTCACATACAGGAAGCTAGTCGCTGTGTAAGAAGTCGCTGAAATAGGGTTTCTGATTTGATTTACCAAGCAGGATGCGCTTCACAAAGCCTTCTTTTATCGAAGAGCGACAAATGTTGTGTTAACGTCAGCTTCCTTCTGTTAATGAAAGGATTTCTACAAAGCGACTTGACATTCGACAGCGACGAGGTTTGAAACTTTGGGATGAAAAATATGCGTCTTCCACAAATTATTGACTTACCAAGAACTACCTTGCGGGGAGGTGACAGTGAATAAATATTTCTCTATCAAAAAGTGAGAGAAAAGGTCTGTGAAGACTCAGAAAAATAGGCTTTTGAGTACTTTCTGTATCCGTGAGAAGTAAAATGAAAAAAGAAAGGAATGAATTAACACTGTGCCCATGAGTTTTACTTTGCGGCAGGCGAGATTTCACCCCGTCGCTGGTTAGCGCAGCTGTTGATCACGTTATATCCCGGTCTGCTGATTGGCTTGTTTCAAAAAGTGATCTCCAGGCAATCATTTTGTCACGCTAACCATGTTACTGTTTGCTGTCACACAAAGAGAGAGTTTGAGTAGGCCTGTAATAAAACGCTCTAAACTATTATTTCGATGTCAAAACTATTTAACTTTTTGCCATACGGGTAAACGGCATTGTTCGAGTTGACGGATTCGTCGTACTAACAACTATCTTGCATTTCAATCAGATAAAGAAATTAAGCGCTGTATAAACCTGGCATGCCATTATTCGACCGATTAGGCGACCTCGTCCACCGATTACGTAACGATATATGTCCCTCTCGAATCCTAGTTATCAACCTCAAGGGCGAAGTCCTCTCCCTGTGAATCTCATCGTCTTTTCTGTAGCACCGTTCGCCATCGGTATGATTTAAATAAATGTCAAACTCCTCTATTTTTCCAGCGTCAGCTATCGGCTAAGCAATGATCTAAACTGTAACCTTTTAGCAATGAACTCATGGGAGCTGTTTCGATGAACACTTTACCTGAAATTGCATTTACAGGATTCAGGAGAAATTTCCAATTTACTTGTTAACCGACATCCCATAGCTTACAAATATCAATTTTTATTGCTCTTCAAATACTTTTAGACACTTCATTTACATTAAGCTGTGCTTGAAGGGTCTCGAAACTAAGACTTTCTCAAACGTATCACTTTTGTTACAGACGCTCCCTTTCTCTTGGGGTAATTAAAGTGGATTTTGAAGACCATGACGAGACATGTGTCATATACTGTCTCTTCCATTAACCCTTTGGGACGCTTTAGTGTGGAAGATACACGAAAGGACATTCCATAATATGCATTTCTAAATAAATGCGTATCATTTAGGAAAGATGAAAACATTAACAAAAGCTACAACAAAAACAAAAATCCTGCTTGGTTTTTTTAAGTGGAGTTGGAAACCCATGAGAGCTTTGAAAAATTTCTAAAACAAGAACTCTTAGAGAGGGATACTCCCTCACTAACTTAGAGATTTTCCTAACGTTTTGGCCAATAAAACGCGAAATTAGTTTTCGATTCAATTGGCATCAAATGTTTGTGCAAATTAAAGTAACTTTCCCCCTAGAACACATGATACTTTTCACCCTTTATGATAGTCAAATGATCATGGCTTTGGTCAACCACTGAAGCACATGAGAATTTTTTCAGATATCGTGAATATCAAGTTACTTTTCAGCAACAATACTGCAGGAATTAAAATTATATCAGACTCGGCATATTGATTCAGCCGCAGAGCATAGCTATTTTGTCTCGTTTAGTTTCAAACAAGTGCATGGTAAATTGAGAATGAGGAGTGAACGGACAGAATAGAGCCGCGGAGATTTCTTGCCAATATGGGTGGGAAAAGTTATTGTTTATATATGTCATTTTTGTATTACAAAGTCGTAGATAGCTAGTCCACGAGACGTATGTGATTGTCCTTTATCTGAACTTGTATCGAAAATTTCATTGAAGAAGTTCCCGTACATCACAATAACTTTTCCTACCCATATTGGCAAGAAATCTCCGCTATATGTTTTAACTGTCGTACGTGTAAAACACAAAGAAGAACAAATTACAGAAAAGCCGAGAACCGCTTGTGTTCTCTCTTGTCAGTGATAGGAAAGGTTGCGGATATCAATTTCTGGGAGTAAAAAATGTAATCATCTTAATTTATCCGAAACGCCTTGTAAATGTAGCTACTGAAAGAATATGACGTTTTTTTTCGGGGATCAGCAATGATAAGGAATGGCCACGGAGCAGCTGAACTGACTGCAAAACACCAAGGGCAACCTGTCCTATTGCTGCTAGCCGCGTTTAAAATGTTCTATCCGGTCTGAAAACGTTCAACGTTTTGTGTTCCTCGTCACATATCACCAGCTTGTTAAAGGTGTCGATAGCGAATCCACGGAGCTTCTGCAGTTGTCCTTGATCTGGGTTTTCATTGCCATGTCATAGAGAAAGCGCCAATCCTTATCAAATGCTTTAACACACCGAGCTGTGGGGCATGAAAAGAATTCAGTGAGATAATATAGCCCCAAAAAAAGATTTTTTCGTATATTCCTGCCACGATTACAATATTTTCGGGCGCAAATTCCTTGCACGTTATTCGGTACATAGGAAATGATATTCGGATGACCGCGTATTAGCAGGAAAATCTGGGGCGAGAGAAAATTTGAGTACTACTGTTGCCTTTATACAATGACTAATGTAGAGCTTGATGGCTTGGCGTATTTATGTTTCTTTGACGACGGATCTTGGTTTCAGGTAGAGTTTTGTTTCAATTCTTTTTATTCTGTGGTGCGTTTTTACTTGTAAATGGTTTCCTGTATAGTATTGACCGTAATGGTTCAGGTCAGAGCCCATTGGGTCTTTTCAAGATTGACGAAACGAGATTAAGATAAGCTTTATGCACATGTCCTTATGTAATTCTTCGTTCCTCGATGAGTAACGTGAATTCGGATCTCGATAGCCACGTATTCTGCACGTGCTATTCTTCGACGTTAAATTAGAGATTGTAGGTTATCTTCTGCTCTCAATGATGCAATGAGGACTGACGACCCCAACTCTCTCAATTAACCCTCGCCTCTCCCATGGAGCAACGAGGCAGCTGTTATACATAGTAATAATAGCCTCTATTTGGCATGAAAATACGCACGGATATTTGTCTGCCAATGTTATCTGTTCTGAAATGTGTGCTTTGAGGAACAGATAGTTTAAAAGGACAAATATACAAGCATATTTCTGTGCCAAATATAAGCTTTTGTGTTTATTTTCCTTCAAATATTTTTGAGACATGTGGGAAAATTGTTTATGCACAACTAATTGCATGGGATTTTACCATTTTAGTGTTTTGTGGTATGACTTCATGAACAAACAAACATGTCCCATCTTCTGTGACAGTAGCAAATGCTCTTTCATCTTCAGTCCAATTTTAAATGGATGCTTTTATCATTATGATAAGAGATGTGTAGTTTGAAAATTGGGGTGTATCCTCTGATATTTCCCATTTTAGCTGGGGTATGTTCAGTAACATGAAACATTAGACTAATTGTATGCAAGCAAAAATATTTGATGGATTATAAGTTTGTCTATTAGTCATAGGTGAAACTTCTCTTTGTGGTAGATTAAAATAGTAACGTGAATATGCTTTGTGTTTAGGGATGAGCTTTCTAAATTTTTGCTCAAATTTCAAGAATAGCTACAAAGAGTCTATAGTGTTCATGGTATATCATAAACCTGTGCTGATTTTTCTGATCTCAGGGTACACTGCTAACCAGGGATAAAAAACAGTATGGAGTTATGGGTGAAGGTAAGCAATTCTAAATTAAGAAATCATAAAGCCCTGAGCAAGTTGTCCAGTAAAACTTTTTACTCAATACAGAAGCACCAGTTTAATAAAAGCAGCTCAGTCCAATGTTCACCAATATCATTTTTATCCTCTTTTTTGTCCAGCATGGTACATTGAAGGTCTTTTTTTCATGTATCTAGCATATGTACTGTTTGGTCCTGTGCTGCACTTACAAGCCTGACTTTGTGACAGATAAACTAAAGACAGCCTACTCTTTACAATCCTTGCAGGCTTTTGTTCAAATGGAGCCATTACATATTATGAATTAGACAGCTGAGGAATTTCAAAACCTTTTAGCCTGAAATCAGAAATGTAATAGCTAAGTAACATAACAACTTTGATTATGGAGTTTTTTTTTCAGTTAATGGCATAGAAACCACTATGCAACAGTTAACCCTTTAACTCCCAGAAGTGATTAGCATGTAACTTCTCCCTACAATATCCACACATTATCCTGCACACAGGTAATAAGAATACTCAAACTTAAATCAGGTGGAAGTTGTTATCTTGATCCAACACCAAATTCTTATAACTAATTTAAAAGGAGTTGTGTTGCAGCTAGAGGGGAGAATCAACAATCAGTTCTTGGGACTTAAAGGGTGAAACTTCACCATTCAAGCTTTGATAGACATGACCTGCAAAAATTTTTGAAATTTGTATTAACACAATAATTCTCAATATTTTAAGAAGGTATTGATTTTTTGACAAAATAAAGGGTTTAAGCAAATTCAGTGCTGAGCACTTCATTTGATATTCACCAATTAATATCCAATTCACGTTCATGCAAATAGCAGATAAGCTGCCTTTATTTCCACTATAATTCTCTCAGGCTGCAGGTATTTGTCACTCCCACTTTGGAAGAGCAACATATTATAATTTCTCAGCCAGAGGCTGTTGATGTGGTTAGCTTATGGAATGATGATTTAACAATCTGCATTTTATATTTGTTTTATATCACTGTATTTTACTTTCATTTATTTGATAAGCAATGAAATCAATTCTCAACAGCTTGTGGCCCACCAGAGGAAGGGTTTGCTGAATGCTGTTTTGAAGAAGAACCATTATTTTACATGATTACCATTATTGACCAGCAAGGTGATGAAGAAATGGTGCGTCAGAATTAATTGCTTTGACATGTCATCCTGATAACATCAATGTCAGGGTTTTTCAGGAAGAACAACCACATTGAGGAAAGTGTACATTATATTATTCAAGTGTTATTTGGTCCAGTCATCAGTGCTTAACTCTGGAGCAAAAGTGCTGATTTGATCCTGGTCTTGCATCACCATTCTCTAAAGTGAAATCTACCTTAACCCCTTAACTCCAGTGAGTGACCAAGACAGAATTTCTCCTTGCAAAATCAATACTATATGAAGCAGAGAAGTGATGAGAATTAAAGAAAAATCTTAATTAGTGGATTATTAGTTGATCCAATACCAAATTCTCCAAACTAGCATCACAAGAACTGTATGGCAGACAGTAAGGAGAATTACTAATGAGAACTTGGGAGTTAAAGGGTTAAGTAAATTACAGGATGACTCATGTTGACATTGTATTTACTTAAGGTGGCTCAAAAGGTTACTTTTATTAAACACCCTATTTTCCATGGATTGTTGATTGTTTGTTTCCTTGAAATTGATAAATTTAGTAAACTGTTAATTCAGTAAAATGCCTAATCATTTTTAGCCACCTAAGGTTTTGTAAACTGTACAGCAGTGGTTTAACACCCAAATAGGATAGAGTGAATGATCAACAAGCTTACAGCAGAATGACCCTTAGCTATTGGAGTAAGTGTAACATTAAAGTAAGAAATCTGTAATCTTAACTGTGATTAAGTACAAAGAAATCTCAAGCTCAAAGTACAAGTCCCCTCCTTATATTGTAGGGGGTTCCCATCATGAAGGTTTCATGGTATTCAGGGCAACAAGACACCTAACTGTTACAAATTCAACCATCAGCATCACCAAAGGCTGCTGTAGATATGCCTTATCTATCAAAATACTTCGGAATCAGCAGCATGGAGCTGGCATTACATGTGACGAACAGTACTTTTAAAAGAACCCTCTGTTGAACTGGTAAGCGGTGTAATTCCCCAAGAATTGGACTAATATGCACAGCTATAGGCAGTTAAGCTGTAGGCATGCTGCATAATTCTAAATACTCTTAAGGTTTTGAATTAAGTACTAATGGCTCAATCTTGAAGCAACCAGGTGATGGTGATATTACACTGTCCACTAGTTCTTAATTTAGCCATAGTGCAGACTTAACTAACTACTACTATTTCGTGTATATTTATATAGTTTCAATTAATCACAGGTGTTTAAACATGTTATGAAGACTGGTGGTGACAACTGTACATTAACATCAAATGAAATTGACTTTGAAACTGAAGAACTTCTAGTTGGAAGCAAGGTATGCTTAGTGGTGAATGAGAACGTTATTATTCAGTTTGTCACTGCATGTGTTACTTAATTACGGTTAACAAAATTCTGTTTTCAGTATTTTGCTGTTTTCCAAACATCAACTTCTTAAAAAATCAATATGTTGTGGTTACAAACTAAATTGAGAGCCCTTAAAGGTCAGCGATATCACATAGTTTGACTAGTTTGTCCATCTTTAATATTTTAGATTAAGCTTTTATATAGGACATCAGCCATTCTTGTTAATTTTCTATCCCATTTCAGCCTATTTTTCTTACTAATATTAATGATAACCATCAGATGCAATTAAATTATTATTTTAAGAGAACGGGAAATATTTTCCATTTTACGTTGTTGTGCGTTTGCTGAAGTGTGCTTTCAAACACTTAATTTTTTAAAGTTGGTAACGTTGGTAATCCCAACTACATAGGCTTGTGACTCCTAACGAGGATTTTACAGTTTGTTATGAATTTTAAAACGAGCAGTCTGTCAACATGACGCCCCTTTATTACAAATGCTTGTATACACGCGACCAACTTGTATACCGACCCATAAGCGAGTTGACTTGTAGGTGAAAATGACCTGTAGGTGAGATAACTTGTGGGCGAGGGTGGACCAACCAAACCGTAGTTTACCGCGGTTTCTGTACCATGATGCAAGTGCAAACATTGCTTAAATCCTCATAGATAGGAGCTAACTCGTGATTGATTAACTCTCCGCTATTTTGACCTTTTCTAATGGAGGAAGAGCCACTTCTAATAAATATACATGGGTCCAAGGGCAGTAAGGGATTAATTGCACGCGTATTTTCGAAGTTCTCAAAAAATTGCCCAAAGGCAATTTGTAGAACTGTGAGAGTAAAGGTAAAATTAATCTTTAATTGCACGAGGACGTTTTTAATTACTTGTTTATCACCTGTAGAGCATAGAGGGCACGATGTTACAGATCAGTAACAGTTCAGCTGTGTTCTCAAGAACTGCTAATTCCAGTCTAATCACTTCCTTTCTTTGAACCTTGTTACTCTAACCGCCGCGTTACACGATGAATGTCGTAAATCACATTCAAGGTGTTTGCCTTGATCATAGCGACCTGATGAATGGATTCTTTCTTAAAAACCTGCTTTGAATTAATCCCTCTTTGACTTTCTCCGTTCCTTTGTTTTACAGGCAAGTAATCACGTCAACAAATACTGCCGGTCAGAGCTGAAAGGAAAGGAGAGCATTGTTTGTTCTGGTCACATGACAATACATCGTAATGTTGAGCAAGACTAAAGGACAATTGTGAGATGAAAAGTTTTAATTAACAGTTCATAGTAACGGCTTAAATTTTTCTTACCTTCTTTCCAATGTGACATTTTGTCCTAAGGTAAAGCAAGCACTGTCTCGCGCACTCAGATCTGACGTAGTGAGGGTATTTTGGAAGTTGTTTTGTAAAGCTTTTGTCATGGCTGGAGATCCATAACAGAGAAATATGGTTACTAGTCAGAATACCGCTGCACTTGTTACATTGGTTTATTGTGAATTCTCCCCATTGCAAGTTCGGTCCCTACCACCTCTGCGAGTTCGTCCCCTAACCCAAAGCAAGTTCGCCTCCACCTTAACTAGTTTACCCCTTTCGACTCGTTTCCTTACAAACGCACTTCTAATGCACTAGTAATGCAAAGCCGTGAAATTACTCCAGTCTTAATCAAACGGGATTGACAGAATTTTGTGCCTTTACTCACAGCACTCTTTAAACTTAGTTATTTTGTCTTTCCTTCGAACTTCATGCTGACCCAAAAACTTCAACAGCATTGTATAATAACACTCTTAACAGGTAGTTTGTTGTTGTAAGGGTGCAAACTCGCAAAGGTCAGTGATTTGGGGCGAACTTGCAAGGACCGAATTTATCAGTTATCTTCATATTGAGCAGTTGCAAATAGTATAGCGTCACAAGTACTTTATATATGCTTGCGTTTGGCGTTATTTGGCTTTTTCGTGAAATAATTTGAAATGTGATTAAATTGATATTTGCTTATTTGCTTCTTTGAGTAAGAGTACTACAAAATCTTTCCCATAGGGGACATCAAGCGAGATTTGACTACAACTTTGTAAACCACTATTAAACGTGGATGAATGTGCCTTGAGTGGTGATTGGTATACTGTGAAGCGTCCTAAAGTGGGCAATCGCGGTGAAAATGTTTCATGTAGAACGTGGCTTTGAGTCATGGGTGACGTCATTCATCCGCACACATCTAATCCCATTAAAGCATTTGACCACATGTTGGCAGTCATGTTGTCGCCTTTAAGAGGCTACTTAGCGTGAAAATGGCTTGAAGGGGCGAAGATTGCTAATAGGAAGGACATAAAAATGACGATGAAATTAACTTTAATTAAAAAACAATTGTTGATAAATCTGATGGAAGTTAGCTAACCATATTTTTTTTTTAATTTCGAAACAAATGCTCAGCCCTCTCGAGATCGCCAATTTTCAATTGATGGCAATAGTCACGCGCTCGTATTCGGACAAAGCGTTTGTTCTCAGTATGGCTGCAACCTCAGGCGATATTTGTAGACCCGGCCCCGTGTACATGGTTTCTCAATGTGGCCCCCATCTGACAAATAACATCGTGAATTTTGCAATTTTATTGAAATGTGAACGAAACAGCTTGGACCAAAACTTTGAGTTCTCGCAAACTCGAAATAAGACTTGTTATGCTTTTGATACGGAAGGGCGTAGAACGTTGATTTTTTTCATTGAATACAAATAACTTGGCCTTTACAGTGTGACGCTCGACTGCTTCACTTTTTTTCCACACTCTTTACAGCTGAATTGTGAACCAGTCACCAATTGCACTTACATATTTATTGCCCCATTGCAAAGGTTACGAAAGAGGAGAACTTACATTTTGAAGACAAATGAGACATTACAGGTCTTTTCAAATGGTTAAACGCCCTCAAACAGGTACCATTAGGAACGCTTTCAACCACACATCGCTGAAATGACACGAGCTACTAATACTACAACGGAAAAAAGGTCCCAAATATTTTCGCAAAATATTTTCTTCAAATGTTTTTCTGTTGCTCTGGTATGTATTATCTCTTTCTGTGTTGGCTACTTCCTGAATTCGAGTTATTCGACCAACCATCTAGAGATTGGAACGAAAACAAATCCGATTGAACGGAGAAATTCGCGTCACTTGCGTCCTTATCGAGAGCAACTCTTGGATTCGTTCAAGGCAGAAAATTTAGAAGAAACGTTAAGGTGAGGATACCAAGTAATCCTTTTCAGAAATTGCGATTTTCTGGCAAGAGATCAACTCCCATTATCGAAAACCGACCGACTGCTTTTGTTTGTTCTTCACAGGTATTTCTCCAAGGAGCCACATCTCGCTGGTTCAAAACGCAACAACGACTTAGCGTACCACATTGCTACTAAATGGCGAGAGTATGGCTTTGATGAAGTTACAATGCCAAAGTATGATGTGCTCATGAGTTCACCTAAAAAAGATCGGAAGAGCCATGTGGAAATTCATCGTAATGGTCGTGTGATCTTTAAATCACAGTCTCATGAAAAGGTGATAACGGTTTGCTTGTTAACTGTCTTGTTATTTTGACTACTCTGGCTTTGATTTTTATCCTTTTGCAAACCCTGTAAAATGTAAATTAACGAGGCATCTGTGATACTACAAAATCTGAGTGTATCAGTTTCGCATTTAGATTCTTGAGTCTTTTTTTTAGTTTTACGCTTCGAGGCAGACCACCAAAAACTAAAATTATACAAAGATTCAAAATTTGTTAGGTGTTAGTCGCCCTGACGAAGGGCTAACGCTCGAAACGTCAGCTTTGAAACTCTCAACGGTGGCCAACTTACGTTATCAACTCAGTTGATAATACCATATTACCATGTTATACTCTCCCACCGACGCAACACCACAGTCTCTTCGGAAACTTACCCCCTTTAACAAAGAAGTGCATTGTCATCTAACGGCCAAGCTGTCTTTAAACTTCACCTCCAACAAAAAGATCCTTTCACAGCTGCTACATTTCACATTTCTTGTTTATCTTAACAGGTTTTACGTGAAGATGAAAAGAAAAGTAAAGATATCCCAATTTTTCTTGGTTATTCTCCCAGTGGGGTAGTGGAAGGTGAAGTTGTCTACGCCAACTTTGGCACTGAAGACGATTTTGAGAAACTGACAGCTATGGGAGTGTCTTTGAAAAATAAGATTGTTATAGCGCGACAGGGACGAGTATTTAGAGGAAACAAGGTATGCTATTTGTATTTAGAACTTAACAACCTTAGCGCAGATGTTACTGGGTTATGATTTGAGAGCTTCGTTGAATTGTTGTCTTTAACACTGCAATAGCTGTTGCACGCAATTTATTTCTTTTTTCGTCGGTTCTTTGAATCGTGGTTATGACTGCGCGCGCTAATAGGTCGTAGGGGTAAGGGATCAGGGTTAGGTTGTTTCCCATTGGCTAATCTGCAGAAACTGCTTATAAAAGTTTGTCGGCTTGCTGAGTTCAGAGTCAGGTGTGGTCTTTTCATACTCTTGCGAGCAAAGAAAACTTCTGGTGCCAATGTAAGTGCGCTGAAAGTCGAAAGAGAAGAAAACAACATCCGTTCCATTCCCTTTGCAAATTTTTACAGTTTGCTATTATAAAACATTTTAAGGAACTATGGCTTTCTCTACCTTTGAAATCTTTTGAAACTGATTTTCAAGCAATTCCTGTCAAAAGAATGCGTATGTACTCTTCCATCTTTGATTACTAGGTAAACTATGGATGGATTAATATATAGATTTAGCCAAGCCTAGAAGCGGAGCTCGCAATTTTTTTTCCCGCACGTCCCAAGGGCACAACGCCTTGCAATTAGTCGCACTTGATTATGATAGTCACTCAAACTTCATTGTTTCCTTAAGGTCTTCAATGCTCATTCACACGGCGCCTCTGGGGCCCTCATATACACTGACCCTGCGGAGTTTGCACCAGAGGGAGACGGAAACACTTTTCCCAAATCCTGGTGGCTTCCAGACTCCGGCACACAGCGTGGGTCAGCGATAAGTGAAACGGGGCCTGGTGACCCACTTACCCCGGGCTTTCCTTCTGTGGATGGTATATACCGACAGCCATTGAACGAAAGTGGCTTACCACCAATTCCTGCCTTTGCTCTATCTTATGGCGACGCCAAAGAAATATTAAAGCGAATGAAAGGTTAGAAGCTTAGTGACGCCGAGATGTTGTTGTTGTCGTTTTTTTAGTTAATTATTCTGTGAGTCGCTGCAGGTAAAGAGCGACTCATTCAATTGACCAATACTGATTTCTCTTGTGTTTTACTTGCAGTGACGCAGAATCTAAATTAGGTGCACCTTCACTCGGGCTTTCGGTTCTTCCTTCCGGGGTTTAATTTTTTTTTACGCTAGGCCCCTTCACTTTTGAACTTTATCCAAAATTCAGAAATGTTTTTGAAACTTCAAGCTATTTTTATGACATTCGGAACTGACGTGCTTTCGGCCTATCCTCTCAATTTTTTTCTTAAATTGATAAGGTCTTTTTTTTAGAAGTGCTGTCTGCTTGTCAGCGCCTTTGGCAGTTCGGATTAAGACATTCGAGAAAGAGATAGTGGAACAGTGTTCGATGGAGTTAATTTTGTAATAGGACTCCACTTATTTACCTCTCTCCACGTGGACTATATCCGTATTTTCAGAAGCCAATACAATGTCTATCATGTTCTTACAACTTTACTCGACAGGTCCTGAAGCCCCGAAGAGCTGGCAAGGAGGCTTGCAACTCACTTATCACGTCGGGCCGGGTTTTAAAGACGAAGATCTTTCATTACGCTTGGATATTAGGAACAACATGGAGAATAAAACCATTACCAACGTCATTGGCCAGATCAGAGGCGCCGTAGAACCCGACCGTTATGTACTCATAGGGAACCATCGGGACGCTTGGGTGTTTGGTGCTGCTGATGCAGTTAGCGGTACGGCTGCAATGATGGAGTTGTCTCGTGGTTTGGGAGAGCTTCTTAAAACGGGATGGCGACCTCGCCGGACCATAATGCTCTGCAGCTGGGACGCGGAGGAGGTGTTTGTGGTTGGATCAGCCGAATGGGTTGAAGAAAATGCTCGAACTCTTCAAGATCGCGCTGTTGGTTACCTCAACATGGACGTGGCTGTCAATGGCAATTTCAGTATCAACGTTGATGCAAATCCTCTACTCCAAGACGTGGCTGTATCGTTGACCAAAGAAGTATGTGATCCAACAGTTTCGGACACTTGCAGAAGCATGTACGATGTCATGTTAGAGAGAGATGTTACGAAACACGAGAACGGGATCCCATTCTGCGATAATTTGTCGTTCGGAAGTGATTACGTGTCGTTTTATCATTTCATCGGAGTCTCTTGTGCGGATTGGTCTTACATTTTCGGGGGGTTGTATGGAATAAGGCGATCGTATCCAGTTTATCATTCCATTCACGATTCATATTACTGGATAAAAACCTTTGTCGATCCCGAGTTTAAGACTCACCTAGCCGTAACAGAATATGCAGGGATTTTTCTTCTTGAATTAGCAGACGTGGAGCTCTTGCCTTTCAACACTACAACCTATGCAGAACTGTTACAGAAAAAATCCACTATTATAGAAAAGAGCAAACATCTCAAAACACACAGCATCAGCACGGCTGCCTTCTCTCGCGCGGTAAAGAACTTCGCAAAAGTTGCGCGTCAGTTTGAAAGCAGTAAGTCAAAACATAAACCAGAGAGCTACCGCACGTTAAACGATCAAATGATACAACTAGAGAAGGCGTTTATTCAAACTGTGGAAGTGAATGATCATAAACAATTACGACATGTTATATACGGTCCAAAGCTTGCCAATCTTTACGGCGGTATCTATTTCCCACGCGTACATTATGCCACGATGAAGGCCGAAAAGACGGGAGACTGGAAATCGGTGGAGAAAGAAATATCACTTTTGACATTTGCCATAAACTCAGCCTCGAGGGTTTTGAAACCGATATGATAAACAAGAAAGCTGTAAAATAGTATTAAATTTGTCATGTGAAGAACTACCGTGGATAAATTTGAATTTTTTTTCTAAGCCGTTTTGTTTATGCTAGTTAGAAATTTGCTACGTTCTTTTTCGGCATTTTCGCCGACCGATGCTCATTTGAGATTTGTCACAAAGCAATTGTGAAAAAAGCCAGTTTAAATTCATTGGAACTGAAGAAGCTAGTCAATAAAGAAGTTAATATTTGACATAAAGAATATCTTGTAGAATGTACCCTTGTCGTAGAATGAATTCGCGAGACTCAGTAATAATCATGGATTAGTTCAGTGTGTTCGATGTGGCCTAGGAATGAGTATTTTTTTTCTTAGCGTATTAAAATCCAGGGCATAATTAAATCTGCAAACATCAAATTGTGGTGCGGCTCACAGTTCCGATTTGGGTGCAATTTTTCTACATATCTTCCAAAGGCTGCCTAACTTATCTACTCCTGCATGAAATCGAGGAGAATGTATTCTCGCGTGAGATTAAGACCAGGTGTATCAGTCAGTCCAAGATGGCGTCGAAAAGCTGAAAGAGTCTGACTTCGGATCGATGTCCACGGGACTGAAAATAGACACGAATTGTAAGCGTTCTTCTACTTTGAACGCAATTAGGGTAATATTAGGCGAAATTGTAAGAAAATGTTGTGTTCGCGTTTACTGTAGACATGCACAGTCTTATAGCATTAAAAATGTTTTGGCTGGCGTAAATTCACTTAAAAAACTATATTTTAGAGACTGCTTACAGTTATTCTTGATTTATTTTACATATATACATTCGAGAACACTTCCGTCCACTACAATAGTCTGACATAAAGAAATTATTAAGCCAATCAATAAAGCACTCGGTATACATTCTGTTTAAAAAACCATGAAGTTTACAGACTCTTAGGCCTTTTATTAAATAAAATTTTAACTATTATTCATCCAAACCGCACTCTAATCAATATTGAGACAAGCAGAAAAATTCACCCAATCGTTAAGATTTTGCGAAACCGTCAAAGAGATTTATATAAAGCTCCAAAAGAAAATCAAATTTCTTGGAAAAAACCCACAAATGATGAACATTCGAAGTTTTGATCGTCAAATTAAAAGCCGCGGCCCTAATTAGACCTCGTTTCAATAACCGAACCTCGGGGCCAGTTTATTACACAAGGTCTAACCCAAACCACGGTTTTTACTTAATTAGTGGGCCTCAGGCTTTCTCTATGAGAGGATAAATCTGTTTAGCCTGCAGAGAAGGCGTAATTTTGGCGAGCGAGTGCTCAGTATTTTCTTAGCCAAAATCATGGAGCTATCTTTGGTTTTCATGGCAGCGGAAGGCTGGGGAGTGAAAGAGTGTTAAGGGGGTGAGCGACAGTAAAAAGTAAGTAGAGGGGAGGGGGTGAGGGAGTGAATATAACTCCGCCTTTTTACCTTTCCCCGACATTTCCCTCACTGTCGACTGTAACTTCAAATCAATCATGGCTGGTTGAATAAACGTACGTTTCTTAAACGTTAACTTGCCCTAATATAAGATGGCTACACTGTTTCCTTACTCAGAACTGGTTAGCTCAAATGACCACCACAAACCGTATAATATCAAGCCAAGCTTTAATAATCATTCGATCTAAAATAGAATCTCACTTTACAGGTTAGCAGATTCTCCAGGTAAGCGGATTTGGAGACAGAAAAAATGATAACAAAATAACTTCTCTCTAACTTCGATTCCGGTGAAAAACTGACTTGAAACATAATAATCTAACGCTTTTAAATCAATCTAAAGAATTAATGTCAATCACGATTCTTGTCATTAAGTAAATCTGTCAACAACAACGCCTATTTGATAAACGAAACATTCACTGCAGGCTATAATTTGATTAAATAAAAGTCCTTCGACTTTTAGCTTTCGGCCATCTTAACACTGTTCACAAGAACAAATGTGCAGATAAAAGGTCAAGCTAAATTGATGATTGTTTAAGACGCGATTTCGTTAAACAACGGCTAAACTTTGTTTTAATAACCGGTCCTTAGTGTCTCCTCTGTACAACCTCAACCTTAGTGTCTCCTCTGTACAACTTCGCTTCCCGCAAAGAGCAGGCACGTAGCTCCTAGTGTTGTGGTCTGGCCTTGTTATTTTTTATACATGCAGGCCCCAATTTAAAGTAGCTTTAAAGCTGAACTGGGCCAGTCTGTCAAAATATCGTAAATAAATAAATAGCTGGGAGCTAGCTGGCCGAGCTACACTAGCTGTTGATATGAGTGTCTCAGTTACAAGGATCTTGTGTAGAGTTGACACAAGTAAATAAGGTTCAGGCTTCTTTTCGATCGCTATAAGCTAACGAATTAGGCGTTTCCTCGGCTCTCTTCTCTGATAGTATCATTACCGAGGTCATTCATTTCTAGTTCATGGACTATGAATACTTAATTGAGCTCTTCTTTAACAACTTACCCCCACTGAGCATTAATGCATTGGGACTTCAACTTGATTATTTTATCTAACGGTAGAAGAACTGTCCCACTCGAACGGGCAACCATGCTTTCTCCATCATGAAGTTGCCTTCATGGCCAAAATGGAATACTTTACTAGGTACAGGAGAAAAACTAAAAACCAGGAGTAAATCCAAACAAACAAACGTCGGCAAACAAACAAAGCACCTGTAGATTGTGAAACAGCCTGGTTTGCACAGCTTGAGAGTTCATCCCGATTTCGGAATCATAGTGCGACGGAGCCTAACCTCTAGCTTTTTGTCAGGGCCTCCCTTACAGTTCGTTTGTGCTATGAATTTTTTTCTCCCGGGTATTGGTTGCGTAGTAAGAGTAAAGTTTCTTTCCGGGCTTTGATCTTGACTCGATCCTGGACCGCTCTAGTTTGAAGCCTTAATCAACAGGCTAGCACACACATGTTACATTTTGGCCATAGGACTAATAAAGATTGTGTTTTCTCAAGCTGGAAACTGTCATATTCAGGGTATTAAAATATAACGAAGGAAACCAATTTTTCAAATAAAAGTTCAAAAATATCTTCGTCTTTATATGGGTTTCAGAACATTTGCAGCAGAAGTAATGGCATATGTCAGCAAAGATATCTCTTTTTCCACCAATTTCCAATCTCCTGTTTTTTCCGCCTTGATCATGGCATAATGTACACGCGGAAAATACAAGTTATCGTACAGATCATCGATGTTGAGGCCATGTATTACATGTCTGGAAAGTTTCCAGTCGTTTTCTTCTACAGTTTGTATAAAAGCTTTTTCCACTTGCATCATTTGATCGTTCAGGATGCGGTAGTTCTCTGGTTTCTCATTTAACTTGCCTCTTTCAAACTGACGCGAAACTTTTGCAAATCTCCTCACTGCGCGAGAAAAAGAAACCGTGCTGATGTTATGCGCCCTTAGAGTAGCATTCTTTTCCAAGGAAACTGCTTTTGATTTTAAGAATTCTCCGTAACTGGTTGTGTTGAGAGGTAACAGTTCAGAGTCGGAAAGTTTGAGAAGAAATGCCCCTGCAAATTTTGTCACGGCCAGATGAGTTTGAAATTCAGGATCAACAAAAGTTTTCATCCAGTAAAACGTGTCGTGCACGGAGTGATAAACGGGATACGCTCTCCTGATGTTGTATCGTCCTCCAAAGATATAAGACCAATCTGCGCAGGGAATCCCAAGGAAGTGGTAAAACGCTCCATAATCACTACCAAATGACAAATCGTTACATACTGCGCGGCCATTAACATGTTTAGTTAAATCTCTCTCCAACATGACTTCGTACATACTTTTGCAAGTATCTGGAACTGTTGGATCACAAATTTCCTGCGTCAACTGTAATGCCAAATGTTTGAGTAAAGGACTGGCATCGACATTAAGACTGAAATTACCATTAACAGCCTGGTCTATGTTAAGGTAAGCAACAGCGCGATTTTGAAGAATTTGAGTATTTTCCTCGACCCATTCCGTTGATCCAACAGCACCAATTTCTTCTGCATCCCAGCTGCACAGCATTATTGTCCGGCGTGGCCTCCATCCTTTTTTAATCAACTCTCCTAAACCACGTGATAGTTCCATCAACACAGCCGTACCACTAACAGGATCGGCAGCACCAAATACCCAGGCGTCTCGATGATTTCCCAGGAGTACATAACGGTCGGGTTCTTCTGCGCCCCTAATCTGGCCGATCACATTGTAAATGGTTTTGAATTCCAAGCTGCTGTTGACATCCACACGCAAAGTGAGGCTTTTGTCTTTAAATCCAGGTCCGATATAGTAAGTTAACTGCAAACCTCCTTGCCAACTCTTTGGTGCTTTAAGACCTATCAAATTAAATAGAAACTTCCTTTATACCCTGTAGACATATAAAGTTTTGGGAAAGATCACTTTCTTTTTAGGCGTTACCTACTCTTCAAACATTTGAAAAGACAACGGATGTGCGTGGTACTAAATCAAAAGAGAAAATTAGCAAGGCAACACAAAGCATGCAAGACAAAACTTCGTCAATTGATCGAACTAATAAGTTTTCTAAAAATTTCCAGATGCAGTTACTCTCCATAAAAACGCACAGACGGACTTTCGATTTAATGAATTATCGTAACAGTTTAGCCAGAAAGGTTTTCTTGCTACACAGGGTAGGAAATTTCAGTTTTTTCTTTCCCTTCTTTGAAAAAACCTGGTAGGGCCTCAGGCCCTTAGTAACACCTTCCTCTTCCTGTGCTTGAAGCGTACTAACCTTTCATGCGACGCAGTATCTCCTGCGCATCCCCGTAGGATAGCACAATGGCAGGGATTGGCGAAGAACCATTGTTATTAAGTACCTCTCGGTAAATACCATCCACAGAGGGAAAACCTGGGGTGAGTGGGTCACCAAGCCCCGTTGCGTTTCTTGCTGCTCCACGCTGGGCCCCAGAGTCAGGAAGCCACCAAGAGTGAGGGAAAGTGTTGTTGCCGGTTCCCTCCGGTGCATACTCTGCAGGATCGTTATAGATGATGGCCGCAGATGCACCATGTGAAGCAGCATTGAGAACCTTTAGAAAATGATTTTAGTCTTTGGATTAATTCAAAGTAAGATCCTTTGTTGTTAAGTGCAAGACTCGATCGAGAGCCTGCAGTGTAACTATATTGATGAAAGGGAAAAAGGGAGGGGGGGAAGGGGTCATTATTTATTGCTGTGGGGGGGGGGGAGGTTGGAAGATTTTGGTTGTGTCACAATAAATTATCCTCTCATAAGGCTTTGTATAATATGTAACATTCTTCTGACCCCACTAACCCTCCATTGGCAGCTAACTGGGAGTCAATATTTTATAGTCCTCCTTTACATTTTCTTGGCGATAATAACCCTTGGTCTCCAAAGCTTAACTGATACTCAGTCGCTACAGGATGAAAACCGTGCGGCGTTAGGAACACGAACTGGCAGAGTGGTCAGGAAGTAAATTAAGGAGCTGATTGCACTCAGTAGTCAAATTATTTCGAAAACTAAGATTCTTGGGAAAGAGAGCATGTGTTTGTGTAACAGTGGTGCTCCTCTATCAGTGGTTGAATGTAAAAGGATCAATATTTGTTTCTGGGCAACCGAGCTCGATATCGATTTGTCGTACTCGATTACCATTCCTGCTCGATAAGCAAACGACGTTTGATAATCGAGCTCGATAACTACAAGTCGAGCTCGATTGCTAATCGAGTACGATTACTAATCGAGCTCGATTAGTAATCGAGCTCGATAACTAATCGAGCTCGATTAGTAATCGAGCTCGGTTACAGTACTAACGAGAAAGACTGGGAAAGAGTCAAACACTGATTGAGGAGGACGATGGCAGGTAGTGTTGTTGCAAGAACCTTGGTCATTAGGTGAGTATTTCGTAAGTTTTCGTTAAGTTTCAGAGATAGCATTCAAAGGGAAGGTGTAAAAGGAAGTGGGAGCAAATGTATTGGAAACAGAAATTTTCCCAAAGCACGAAAACCCCAGGTCAGGTGTAGTCATTTCGGGTATAGAAGGGTAAACTTAAACTTAAACTTCGCTGGAATGGGACTTAATACAGACAAGAACAAACTTTTGGTAATCCTTAGTTTATTGTAAAATGTAAAATTTTTATGGTTAACTACGCAGGGGAATACTTGTGTCACTTTTAGATAAACTTGTGTCACTTTTAGATGAACGTTCAGTGATATATGTATACTTTTTAAAAACAAATAAAACAACTTCTGGTTTAGAGCAAGATTTTATAAACCATTCAACCACTGTGCAACGCAATTCCTTTCCTTCTTACCGAACTAACCAAAAGTAGCAACCTTTTAAAGCAAACTTGTATCTCGAAAACCTCGAGCTGGAGGTAATACTTCTGAGCAAAGTAATATGGGTACTAAACTGTGTTTTTCAAACTCTCATTCCTAATGACAAAACACTCAGCTGAATATTTAGGCTTGCAGCTTGGGAAAAGTACTTAATTGCTTGTAAACATGAGGATTTTTGTCTGTCACTGGATGTTCCTTTGGCCTTAGCGAGTTGCAAAATGTTGAGTTGTCTCACTATTAAAATGTAGCCTTGGTGACATCTAGCCCATCTACACTGACAACTAACAAGGAATTCTGAGGCATCCAGAATTAGATCTTTACGGCTTAAGAGGCCATCTCTCTTATTTCCACCCTGCCAATTTCACCTTAAACTCTGTCAACAGAAAGACTATACTTAGGAAAGAACTAAGTTAGATTTGGTTTGATTTGAAATAATTTTCTGGCTGCATTAGGGGCCATAATTATTTCACCAGTTGGTAGGGACTATCACAACTTCTCGGAAATTGAATAATATGCATATTTTGTAACATTGTAAAATATTTGATTTGCATAGTTAAGCCACGACATTTATATCAGATCCCTTAACAACCTTTCTAGTTTGCTAAGAAAGTTAGAATTTCCCTCTCCATATATTTGAAAAGGCAAACTTTAACATATTCTGACCCCTATATATCAGGGAAAATTATTTTTGACATGAAATTGACCGGGTGGAAATAAGAGAGACAACCTCTTAAGTATTTCAATTTTTTTTTCTTTGTAAGAGATAGTGATGATCCTTTAGTCAAGGTCTGAGCAGAAAATCCTTACAGCCTTATTGATAACTTTTTAACTCCCAGAAGTGATTGACATGTAACTTCTCCCTATTAATAACACTTATACATCATTTAGCAAACAGGTGATGAGAATACTCAAACTTATCAGGTAGAAGTTGTCATCTTGATCAAAACACCAAATTCTTGTAACTAATACACAAGGAAATATGCAGCAGCTAGAAAGGAGAATTAACAATCAGATCTTGGGAGTCAAAGGGTTAAGATTCTGGACTCAGTCAACATACTTACTGCCTAAATATAACAGAGGCATTGTGTAATGGATCTTAACTGAACTGAATGAACACAACTTTATAGGGAATAACTTTCTTAAAAAACTTAAGGGCTATGATTAATCGTTTGACCCCTATGAGTGACTAGCATCAAACTTCTCCTTACAACATCACCCCTGAATTACACATTCAGTTAACAAAAACAAAGGAAATGTTCACCAGCTTAAGACACTCTTGATTGTTAAACTAATTTTTGTTGTTAACACTTGGGAAATGTATAAAGACTGGTATTGAGAATATCCCCTCCTGATGTTAGGGTGTAAAGGGTTAACAGTGCACTTTCTGAATGAATGTAGACATTGTTGTACTGTAGGCTGTGTTGTGTTCATTCAACATTAACCCTCTACACTCTAACATCAGTATGCACACTCTCCATACTGTACTTACACATTTACACAGGTGCTGACAAGGAGAGTTTGTTTAATAATTAAGAACTTCTCCAGTTGGTGATCATTTCCTAGACTCTCATGACCTTATGTGTGATTGAAGGATGATATTGTCAGGAGAAATTAGATTCTAGTCACTCTTAGGGATTAAAGGGTTAAGTAGGAAATAGTAAGTTAATGGTACAGTGGAACCTTGATTTAACTAACCTCTATACAACGAAGTTCTTGATATGACAAACAATACTTCTGTTTCAGCCCAGCTAAAGTTACAGTAATATAAATGCCACAGAACCTCGATATAACAAACCCTAAATATAGCCAATCAATGTCTCCAGCCCCTTGGCACTCTATTAAATCAAGTTTCCACTGTACATGTTATCTATTTCTATATACTACTTGAAATGAAAAGGTGGAGAATAAAGTTGTGTACCTTTACACATAGCCAGTATATCAAACAAAAAAAACCCCTTAAATTATAATAGAATATCATTTAATGGCTTACACTTGTGAACTTATGGTTAAGTGAGGTACATATAAAATGAATTTAGTAGTAATTTTGGATCTGCCTTTGTCTCGGTATGATCAAGTTTACTGGTAGTACTGATCACGAGTGATGGTACACAACTTATTTCTAGTGTTTGGCATCTTCCCTTTTTCTCTTTCCCTTTCGATTCCTGTGAGATCTTTGGTCCTTTCTCTTTTTTTTCTCCATCCTGGCTCCTTCATCTTTCTTTTCATGGTCATCATCTTTTGTTTCCATGTGAAAAAAAGGTGAAAAAATGAGAGATTAGTTGAATGTTGTAATGTGCTCACTGGAATAAAGGCAAAAATGAGGGTTGGTCATGTGTAGATACTAACAACTGATGATAAAAATAACAAACTAAGGGGCTTGTTGGAAATATTTTGGGATGTACCCTCAAATAAAATTAACAAACAATTTAAATGTTTTTGGTAATTCACTGGAAGAAACAGGTACCTCACTGTGCTTCATCATGGCACAAACATTGCACAAGGAAGTTTGATAAAGAAGAAGAGTTATTATGAGTAAGAGTTATTAAGACTAATTATGAAGTTGGTGGTGTTAACATTGGTCATCATAATCTATTTACTTTTGTGTTTACCTTTCATTGTCTCTGAGAGTTCCTCTTCATCTGAGGGGTAGTTTCCTTTGAATGACACCTGCAATGAAACATAGGCAGAGGGTAGTATGCCACTCATGGGATGAGTGGCATATCACCCTCGTGTAGGTGCCGCTGGGAAGTATTATCCAGAGAGTTTAAATAATCTAATGGCCCATTTATGAACACTTTCATACAATTTGGACTCCTTAGGGTTGAGGAGGTGGGAGGGGTTGGGTCCGAGACGAGTCTACAGAAAAATAATGGCTTTGAGGGGGAACCATCCCCCTAAATCAAATGTTGGAAGGAGGGAGGTCACACTAAATATCTCAGTAATTGTAGAGTTTTGTATCCTATTTATGTGAAACTACATGTTCAAAAATCAACAAAAAGTATATACATGACAGTTTCCATCCCAACAATTTTCAAAGTATCTGAGTAACTGTAGAGTTTACATGATTTTACACTATTTAGATAACACTACATGTTCAAAAATAAACAAAAAGTATATGCATGACTGTTTCCATCCCAACAATTTTCAAAGTATCTGAGTAACTGTAGAGTTTACATGATTTTACACTATTTAGATAACACTACATGTTCAAAAATAAACAAAAAGTATATGCATGACTGTTTCCATCCCAACAATTTTCAAAGTATCTCAGTAATTGTAGAGTTTACATGATTTCATACTATTTTGATATATCTACATGTTCAGAAACAAACAAAAAGTATAGAAACATGCTTCTGCTCATATAATTATACATCCTCTGCATTTGCATGACTTTTCATCCCAACAATTTTTAAAGTATCTTAGCAATTGTGGATTTTACATGGATTTTGTACTGTTTTCCCAACAATTTTTAAAGTATCTTAGCAATTGTGGATTTTACATGGATTTTGTACTGTTTAGATAACACTACATGTACTATATGCTTTTGTCAGCTTAATAATATGTGTTCTGCACTTATATGGCTGTTTCCATCACAACAATTTTCAAAGCTAGGTACTCTTATTAAAAGACATTTTATCGGGTTAGATGTGCGCAATATCCCTCATCTTTAGCATTGTCAAGCTCTTCCTCACTGTTGTGCATCTGTGAGAGTTGCTTTTGTACTTCTCATCTATGCCATACTCTTCAGGATACATGAAGGAGTACTCTTAATCTCTGACTTCTTGAGGTTTGAGGTAGTTCGACCCTCTTGGCATTACTGAAATGGTATCTTCATAAGAGCTGTGCGAGGTATGTCACATCTTGACTTTATTGCTAAGTTCTTGCCTGATATTTGTGGTAGTTCTGCTTTCTTGGCATAACTGAAATGATATCTTCACAAGAGCTGTGCGAGGTATGTCACATCTTGACCAAACAGCAAGCAAAAAACTCTCAACATCTACTCTCTTTCAGGGACAGCAAGGCAAGGAGGGTGCAGTAAACATATTGGAAGATTATTACCCAGGTTTCCGCCTCAATTACTTTGTTCTAGTAACATGTCGATTTCGAACCTTTTCTTTTTCCTTTCGATTTTCGATAGTTTTCTTTATTACTTCTTCTCTTTCTGATGTGGTGTCTTCGCAGATTTCTTGAATATGCTTCAATAACTTTGGCTTCTCTCTCCAAGTGTCTGTATCCTGTGTTGCATTTAACATCCTGAACTCGACACACTTCATCTGCTCTGCAAGAAGTGAGGAAATTGTTATCCTTGCCTCAAAATTGAAAAGCAAGGGATCACGAAGGCAACATGTGTGGTTGATAACCTCCAGCATATCAAGGTGATGCAGTTCAACAAGAAGAAAAGAGCAGAGCAGCCAAAGGAGAACAAAAAAGAAACCACCACAAAAACACAGGAAAAAGTCTCCCTGATTATGCTGGGAAAGATTGGTTTGAAGAATGTACAAAGGTAAACAATTTTGCAAGAGGGGGTAAAGTGCCTCAAGAAACATTGACTTGACTAACATATCTACAACAATAAGAACTACACAGTGGAGGTTTTTGCAAGGTATTGGCTTTTCCAAATGAATCCTGAAGGCCCTGGTTTGCAAACACAACTGAAGGAAAGAGATTTAACATGTAAACAATCCTTGCAAGACAGTGAAAACCCCAACATAGCTGAAGATAAGTAGAGCAAAGTGAAAGCCATACAAATAGTAACAATGAGAATGACAATGATTCCATCAACTCTGGAGAGGAAGATAACTCCACAAATGATGTCCTTCTTGCTTTTATCAATAACTAGAGAACAAGTTGAAAGGCCAGCTGCAACACACCCAGGAAGATTAAAAGGACCCATAAGAAATTGAGTCATAAATCATTTGATTCTTAACTTTTTTAATCCTGGAACAGTGAAGAAATCTCACAGCTAACAAACCCAAATTACTTTTCAAATTAATGTCTGAAGAATGATCGAGTTATTACCATCATTATAATGAACAAAAAATAAAAATAATAAAGCACACTGCAGAATACATGAGTGGACTAAGGGGACAAGGAAGGCTGGGGGGTGGGGCAATTCATCAGGAAAAAAGCTTTACATTGTAGGGAATAACCATAGCAAAAAATGACATTTGTCATGAAGTATCCGATTAAGTATTAATATTAACCACAAATTAAAAACATCAGGTTAGAGTTAAGGTTAGGGGATACTTCATAACAGTTTTTTGGGATGAGGAGAAGGGTAAGGGGACAACGTATAGAGCTTACTGTCTAGCTGGATTTTGAAAAAAAAAATTAAGAATACATAAGAAGAGCCTGGTCAAAGTATACCAGGATATCTAAGGATACCAGGTCGCACTGGACACTTCTCACGAAGAGCTGGTCAACAGTGGCCCCGGAGGGATTACAAAGGGGAATGATCTAAGGATACCAGGTCCAACTGGACACTTCTCACGAAAGAGCTGGTCAACAGATACCAGGTCCCTGGACACTTCTCACGAAGAGCTGGTCAACAGTGGCCCGGAGGGATTACAAAGGGGAATGATCTAAGGATACCAGGTCCAACTGGACACTTCTCACGAAGAGCTGGTCAACAGTGGCCCCGGAGGGATTACAAAGGGGAATGATCTAAGGATACCAGGTCCAACTGGACACTTCTCACGAAGAGCTGGTCAACAGTGGCCCGGAGGGATTACGAAGGGGAATGATCTAAGGATACCAGGTCCAACTGGACACTTCTCACGAAGAGCTGGTCAACAGTGGCCCCGGAGGGATTACAAAGGGGAATGATCTAAGGATACCAGGTCCAACTGGACACTTCTCACGAAGAGCTGGTCAACAGTGGCCCCGGAGGGATTACAAAGGGGAATGATCTAAGGATACCAGGTCCAACTGGACACTTCTCACGAAGAGCTGGTCAACAGTGGCCCCGGAGGGATTACAAAGGGGAATGATCTAAGGATACCAGGTCCAACTGGACACTTCTCACGAAGAGCTGGTCAACAGTGGCCCCGGAGGGATTACAAAGGGGAATGATCTAAGGATACCAGGTCCAACTGGACACTTCTCACGAAGAGCTGGTCAACAGTGGCCCGGAGGGATTACAAAGGGGAATGATCTAAGGATACCAGGTCCAACTGGACACTTCTCACGAAGAGCTGGTCAACAGTGGCCCCGGAGGGATTACGAAGGGGAATGATCTAAGGATACCAGGTCCAACTGGACACTTCTCACGAAGAGCTGGTCAACAGTGGCCCCGGAGGGATTACAAAGGGGAATGATCTAAGGATACCAGGTCCAACTGGACACTTCTCACGAAGAGCTGGTCAACAGTGGCCCCGGAGGGATTACAAAGGGGAATGATCTAAGGATACCAGGTCCAACTGGACACTTCTCACGAAGAGCTGGTCAACAGTGGCCCCGGAGGGATTACAAAGGGGAATGATCTAAGGATACCAGGTCCAACTGGACACTTCTCACGAAGAGCTGGTCAACAGTGGCCCCGGAGGGATTACAAAGGGGAATGATCTAAGGATACCAGGTCCAACTGGACACTTCTCACGAAGAGCTGGTCAACAGTGGCCCCGGAGGGATTACAAAGGGGAATGATCTAAGGATACCAGGTCCAACTGGACACTTCTCACGAAGAGCTGGTCAACAGTGGCCCCGGAGGGATTACAAAGGATACCAGGGACACTTCTCACGAAGAGTGGTCAAGTGGCCCCCAACTGGACACTTCTCACGAAGAGCTGGAGTGGCCCCGGAGGGATTACAAAGGGGAATGATCTAAGGATACCAGGTCCAACTGGACACTTCTCACGAAGAGCTGGTCAACAGTGGCCCCGGAGGGATTACAAAGGGGAATGATCTAAGGATACCAGGTCCAACTGGACACTTCTCACGAAGAGCTGGTCAACAGTGGCCCCGGAGGGATTACAAAGGGGAATGATCTAAGGATACCAGGTCCAACTGGACACTTCTCACGAAGAGCTGGTCAACAGTGGCCCCGGAGGGATTACAAAGGGGAATGATCTAAGGATACCAGGTCCAACTGGACACTTCTCACGAAGAGCTGGTCAACAGTGGCCCCGGAGGGATTACAAAGGGGAATGATCTAAGGATACCAGGTCCAACTGGACACTTCTCACGAAGAGCTGGTCAACAGTGGCCCCGGAGGGATTACAAAGGGGAATGATCTAAGGATACCAGGTCCAACTGGACACTTCTCACGAAGAGCTGGTCAACAGTGGCCCCGGAGGGATTACGAAGGGGAATGATCTAAGGATACCAGGTCCAACTGGACACTTCTCACGAAGAGCTGGTCAACAGTGGCCCCGGAGGGATTACAAGGGGGAATGATCTAAGGATACCAGGTCCAACTGGACACTTCTCACGAAGAGCTGGTCAACAGTGGCCCCGGAGGGATTGATCTAAGGATACCAGGTCCAACTGGGAAGAGCTGGATCTAAGGATACCAGGTCCAACTGGACACTTCTCACGAAGAGCTGGTCAACAGTGGCCCCGGAGGGATTACAAAGGGGAATGATCTAAGGATACCAGGTCCAACTGGACACTTCTCACGAAGAGCTGGTCAACAGTGGCCCGGAGGGATTACGAAGGGGAATGATCTAAGGATACCAGGTCCAACTGGACACTTCTCACGAAGAGCTGGTCAACAGTGGCCCCGGAGGGATTATGAAGGGGAATGATCTAAGGATACCAGGTCCAACTGGACACTTCTCACGAAGAGCTGGTCAACAGTGGCCCCAGAGGGATTACGAAGGGGAATGATCTAAGGATACCAGGTCACACTGGACAGGGCTTAGGAAGAGCTGGTCAACAGTGGCCCTGGAGGTATTAGGAAAGGGGAATATTGTAAGGATACCAGATCAATGTTAAAATAAGTACAGTTACAAATAAAAACAGAGGTCATCATTTAACCCTTTAACTCCCAGGAGTGATTAACCTCTAACTTCTCCCTATAATATTCCTTCATGATCTAGCTAACAAGTAATGAGAATACCTAAACTTATCAGGTAGATGTTGTTACGTTGATTTAAAAACACCAAATTCTCACAAGTGGTTTACAAGGAAATGTGTAGCAACGAGAGGGGAGAATTCGTAATCAGATCTCTGGAGTTAAAGGGTTCAGATCTGAAATCGAGAATTAAACCTCTATTTTTTAATTTATGACTTTTGCACCTACCAGTGACTGCTCCAAGTTAGTCATCTCTTCAGTGTTCTGAAAATTTGTCAAAAAAAAAACAAATTAGACCATAGCAATGAAAGTGTCTGTCACGAAGACACATAAAATAACTTATTATGCTACCCCAGCTCACGCTGTTTTTAAGTGTTTAATAATTTTAGAGAATTTACATAAGTAAGAGTTAAATCATCTTTAGAACTAAATGTGTTTTGAATGGGAATGCGTTATATTAAGACATTGAAAAAATTAAAGTGGGTTCTGATTGAAACATACCCTCTCTAAAAGGTCCAGGACTTCGTCCCCTTGTAGATGATCAGAGTGCCTCACCACTTCCCTTCCTCGCTGTAGTGTGAAGTGGAGCGGTACTTCAACAAGCGAACCAATCCAGTCATAGACTTCCTGTTTATTGTTTTCATATAACCAAAAAAAGAAAACATGCATCACTTACTATCACCACCATCATCATGTAGCAAATATTATATTATATTCTTACCTGGAAAAAGGCATTTTTCTCAAAAGCCCTGGAGAACTTTTTTCCATTGTTGATATGGACGCCAATGGTTGTTCCACCACCATTAGTTGGTGGTGCTGTCACCCTCCCCCTGCGTTGAGCCCTTGTTTGCTGTAAAGACAAATATTATTATGATGGATATTATTACGACAGATAAGGCACATCACAGTGCGCACAATTATAAAATAAACATATGTGGGTATAGTTATTTAAATAGAAAATCACTGTATACAATTGACATAACTAGATTATGAATTAGTTGAGATAAATAACAAGGGTATATTTCATTCTTAATTTTTTCAAACCTTACATGAACCTAAGCTTAAGAGTTGAGAGAAAGCTGGACACAGTGCACCCAATTATAAAACAAGCAGGCTTGCTTAGGTATATTTAAATGGAAAGTCACTGTATACTCTTGACATAACATTAGATTATTAATTTTTTGAGATAACTAATAGAGGACATGTCATTCTTAATTTTTCCAAACCTTATATGTATCTAAAACTTAAGAGTAGAGAGAAAGCAGATGGTAACTTACAGAAGTTTCATCCTGATTGTTTACGGTATTGTTGGAGCTGGTTCCCAGGGAGCTGCTAGCAATGTTAGTGCTATTGCTGGGGCTGGACTGTAATGCCTGTTATGAAAATTAAAGTGTTCTAATGGGTATATTAGGGAGTAAAATTAAAATAATGTGATTTTGTAAGTGTATCCTTTCAAATTGAATTCTAAATTAGGGGATATTGTGTACCTGGTACTGTAGCTCTTGACTTTGTCTTTGTTTCCGCCAGTCATCCAACTTTTTCCTGTTGAAAGAAGTACCTGTGTCAGTACCTTTCATTCCCATTTTTTAAGTTTTAATAATCATTTTAATTGTGAATACATAAATAGCTGAAAAGTTTCAATCCATACCGTTCATCCCTCATTGCGGAATATAGAGCCTGTGCTCTGCCAATGGACTCTTGAAGGCCCGCACAATCCAAGTTTGATTCTTGTAAGGTACAAGGTACAAAACATGTTGGTGTTAAAAAGACTAATAGATTGAAGCTATTCTTGTTGTAGGTATGATTATTGAAGACTTCGCAGAGATTCTTTCAGAGGAAATTTTGTATTTGTTGCACATGGAAGTTAGAAAAAAAGAAAATGTCTTTGAGACATCCACATTCCTTTTTTTGTTTGTTGTTTGTTTGTTTTTTTTGTGCATCATAAACAATCAATGGATAATCAGACTACTAGTGAAGGAAACAGAGGAGCTAGCAAATTATTCTACCCCAGTCATGACCTTAATGACAAATGATACACTTTAAAAAATGAAAGGTGTCATTCATATAATCACAATATAGATTTCAAATTTCAAATTTTTCATGTTTACCCTCAAAGATTTCCACGCACTGTGGCATGTTTCTGCTATGACATGGGGCCAGAACAAATACAACAATGCCAGGGCTTTGTGAAACGCCATATTTTACTCTCACTGCAATTAAAGGTACAATTACTCTTGTGCTAATAATAACATCTGCAAAATCATCTTGATATATCGACAATAACAACAGTGATAACTATGATAATTATAATTATTACAATAATACTCCAAAAAAATAAACTAATTAAAATTAACACTTGGGTGCATTTGCTTTTGCATTCTGAGCTAAAGACTAGGTTTAGCTACCTTTCTGGGCTTCATGGCTGCTGTCTTTGGCAATCCAGAAGTAAATATGTGGGCTGTTTGCCACAGTGTTGAGCATGCTTGAAAAAGTAAATACAGAGAAGGTTAATAAACATCAAATACACCTGAGTTAAACAAATGTGGAGGCAGAGTAGGCAGAGAAAAATCAATGAGGAAACAAAAGCAAACACATTAGTGTACTAACCTAACCAATCTTCTCTTGCTAGCAAGAGGACAGCTGAAGGGCAAAAGCACAGCCACCATTATACGACCATCCTCTGTTCCTTGCCATGTGAACTAAGATAACAAGAGAAACAGTTCAGTAAGATATGTGCATGAACATGAGTGTACTATTTGAATTGTTTACAGCTATTTTCCCACAGCAGGTAATCAAAGGGAGAAACGGGTTTTGTTTGACAGATTAGTTTGTAGCTCTTGGTTTTTTTTTTTTTTTTAACATGCAAACTTTCTTTTTTTCTTGCCAATCAAAGGGTAGGGTATGAGCGTGATTGTGATCACATCTCATTCTATGTGGGTTTTTCCTACATACTGATAAACAAGCTAATTACCTCTTCAAAAGAGTGGATCAGAAATGAAATGGCTGTGCTTTGCCCTCTGTCCTCTAAAATATTGATACATTGCAGCACCTCAGTGGTCCTGCTATGAACACCTTCACCTATAAGAAATGGGTAACCATGAGGAAAGTGATTTAGTGATGTATGAATGTATTCAGTAGCATTATACACTACCTGTGCTTTCATTGCTCAGTTTGTCATGCACTATCTGAGGTAAACTCATCACAATCATACCTGTTATCACTCCTGATGTTGAAAAATCATCAGTGACATAGCCATCTAGAAAGACAAAATAATAATTAAAACAGGTATACTAGTTCATTGATAAAGAATAATGTAAATGACAATTTCTAGTCTTATTAAGCTAAATGACTGGGGCATTGTGGTTGCTAGGATATGACCTCCCAAAGTACTGACACAGAGATGCATTGGCTTTGGTAAAAATGGTTCTTGTAATCTTTCTCACAACAGATGCATGGCAAAAAAGGAAGATAGCATGGTACAGGCATTAAGGAAATTGATATCCATTTAGTGAGACATCAAGGTGAGCTTACAGAGTCTAGCCTCTTCTGAGTAAACTATCACTTCTGCAAAAAAGAAAAAGAAAAGATAGGAATTACTTTGATGTAATAGGTGATAATGTCACAAATCATTATTTCCTTTACCTGCAGGATGATACAGATTCATCACTAATTTTCATATGTAGTTGTGCCTTTATAAGTCCATTATTTATGAGTTTCTTGAGTGATGTGACTCAGATTAGTAGGTGTTTTTTTCATTAAATATACATATGGCTAACTGGAACTGGAACGAATAGCTATGGGTTACTAAAAAAGTGCTTCCTTAATCTACAGTTTTGACTTACTTGAACATCCTTTTACTCACCATTAATGTCATCTTCTGAGTCAGATGATACAACAGATGGTCCTGCATTGTGGCCTAACCAAGGAAAAGGTGCAGACATCAAGATCAGGTCCATGTCAGAATTGTGAAAGTTCTTTAAATTAACTTAAGGTTACTTTCCACTTTCAGGGGTGTCGTTCATGAAAACACTTGTTTTTATGCTAGTTTCGTATAAATTCTTGCAAACTTTACATCAGAAGAAAGCTTAATGACAGCAGTTTACAATAAAAATACGATTTAAATGAGTTTTCCTCTTGGGAGTGTTATAAGCCAGCTAGACGAGAAACGATTAAGTGTTCTCTTATTGAATTTATTGAGTATCTTCATCAAGATCAATTGAAACTGTAATTGCACCAACTCACCGCCATGGTTTGAATCTGACTCATCTGACAAGTCTGAGCTCTCATCTGTTGAGTAACATTTGATTTAAATTATAATCGCCTTATATACACCCATATACACATTTAGAACACCAATACAAAAAGTAAATTGAAAAAGTAAGACAAAACTGGGGTCATACCAGATGTTGATCCTCTTGCATTTGCAGTTGCCATTGCTGTCAGATATCTTCGTGTAGAAGCTATGATGTCAAAAGCAATTCAGATTACACATAAAATTCAGAATTAAATTAGAACTTGTCATATTTCTTTGATTTTCATCGAGGCAGGATAAGATATACTCACTGAAAATAACTTCACTTGTCTAGTCAGTAAATTGAATTACAAATGGAAAGACAAAGTCTAAGCTGTTGGTAGTATAAACCAATACCTTTCAACTCAGACTTGTAATTAGCAATATTTTCAAATTTTTGTGAAAGATCTGAAAAGCTTAATTTCAAACAGTGACAAAATTTTTTTTTTCAGTTACCTCCATCAACTGGCAAAGGCATCAGATCCAGTGAAGTGGATGTGGAGGGTTGAGCAACTGGCAGTGTAGATATAAGGCTGCTTGAAGATGGGGACAGCAAAGTGGCCCGTGATGATGTAGATGTTAAGGTGGCAGTGGATAGAGATGTGGGTGGTAAAGTGACTGTGGATGATAGAGATGTTGAAGTGGTTGTAGATGTTGATGGTAAATTGACTGTGAATGATAAAGATGTCGGTGGTAAAATGACTGTGGATAATGAAGATGTTGAAGTGGCTGTAGATGTTGCTGGTACAGGTGCTATGGACGACGAAGATGTTGAAGTAGCTGTTGATAATGAAAGTGCTGAAGAGGTTCCAGATGTTAGTGGCAAACTGACTGTGGACAATGAAGTGGATGTTGAAGTGGATGTAGATGATGAAGTGGAAGATGACAAAGCTGTGGTGAAAGAACAGTTTATGCATGTACATGTTGTGATCAAATGTCGTCATAAATTTGATACATTAGACTGGAAATGGGCCTATAGAAGATTCTCACAAGTGTTTGTGGATACATTGTATATGACATATAAACCTTCAACCTTTCAATTGTTTAATGTCAAGGTATGCATTTTGATTTAGCCAGCCTCTGTTACTCGGTTAATATTTGGAAAAATGCAATAGTCATGCACATCACTATTTCTAGGGTGATGAGATAACAAATGACCAATTTCTTCTAAAAGTTCTACTTAGTATCTGGAGGTTTATTATTTTCCTATTAATTTGTGCTAGAAGTTGCAAGGCTGCAGGGAAAGTCACCTTACTAAGATAAGTAAGTAAAGTATCAAGTAAAAAGATAAGTTTCATAGAAAACTGGTTATAAATTAGACTATGCTTATTCAAGACATGCTCCATTTGAAGAGAACAGTTTAAATAGTATGCACTTGTAAGGTTTAGTTGATGTAAGTAACACTTTAAATGTAAACAGACCTTGACTTGGTAGAAATATAAAGATCTTTTTCCTTCTACTTCCACCAAAGTGGTCCATGAGCTGCACACCACTTTGAAGGCCAGTTGCCACTGTCCTCATTGCATGCCCTCTTGCATATGATGTAATTATTTCCAAGCTAGTGTAATAAAGTAATGACAGAAAGGTGATTGTAGTTACCCACACTAACCTTTTTCTGTTAAATTGAATTTAACTGTGAATTTATTTCTGTAAGGTGCATGCAAATATACATTAATTTTGAATGCACATTTGCTTTTAGTGGCATTTGCTCTAGATTGACATAGATTGTAGCAACGACAGAAATATTGCATAGTATGTCATGAAAAAAAAGTATTGTAGGTTTAAATAATTCAATGTGTACTGGAACAAGGAAGGTTATTATCTTAGATGTCTAGACAGCTGTTGTTAATACAATTGGCCAACATTTCATTTAATTTTTTGTTGTTGTTGATTTGTTTTTGTTTTTTTGTTTACTTCATCTGGATCGACCAACGATATTCGATGTTTCTTTAGATAATCAAAATTCACCTTGAAAGCGAGACTAAGAGGACAGCAACAAAGGAAATCAAGAAATATCCCTTTCCAGTTTCTCTAAACCTCGCTTTCATGGAGAATTTTGATCTATCGAAAAAAAGCTTAATCGGGTTAGCGTGAATCATGAATTTGAGCATGACCTTCACACGAACAGAAAACGACAAAAAGTAAATCCTACACAATTCCACACCTCTTTTGTAAACTTTGCATTAAACTGATGGAACGTTAGGAAAATTTGTAACTAATTCCACACAATAATACAAATGACTGGATGAAGACAACAAAAAGACGGATATGTGCGCTGTTAGCCACTTGTCATTTATGTCCGATGCTTATCCTGTCTACTGGCGACAGCTTCTCAATGTTGCAAGACATCTAAAGGAAGATTTTAGCAACCTTAGTTTTCTCTCATCCACGTTTACATCCAATCTTGCCCCTTTTCGGCATTTCGCTGCTTTTATTACGGTACTTTTCACTCTTTTCTCTGAAACCATTTTCTACCCTACGATACAGATTATGAAGGCAGCAGCACTTACCTGCTAAGGTCTTTTCCTGTAAGGGGAGGAAATGCTCTCACCAGTAAGTCTCCGATTTGGGAAGAGCTGTCGTTCTTTGTAAACGATATATCAGAAATCCGCTTGGCGGTAGCGAGCCTGCCCAGCTCAGTCTTGTTTGGCACGCTTCTGTGCCGTTTATCCAAAAAGACAACAGTTCTTTGGAAAGCGCGCTTGCTATGGTTCATCTCGTGGAGTTAAACACTTAATCTAAAATGCTTAACTCCTTGCTGCACTAATATTCCCAAGGATGACGCGAAACCACGCCGAAAATGAAACTGACCGACGTGTATACGTATTAATAAAAGGCTTTTGTTTCGTGGCACACCCATGTCACCTAGGCCTGTCGCTACGGGACATTTATATTGATAGTTAAACAATATTAGGATCGTTTGCCGCAAATGCGCTAAGCGCACCCTTTTATTCGTTTAATTGTTCTTTAATTCCATGAAACGGGCAAGTTACCCTTTTCCAGGAAATGATGTCCACACACAAATACACACACACACTCGCACATGCAGAATGGAAACTTGATTGTTTGAACAGGGAACTTGACCCTGGGTAACTGTCATTTCGCGGATCGATTGTTGCCAGATCAGTATCAATTGTTATTGATGAATACGTGTCAAATTGTCCAGGAAATACACATTTCCCATTGAGGTTCACAAGGTTATAAACATCGTTTACTTATCAGTTAGTCTTGGTTCTTTCACTAAAAGCAAACTTTGCTTGGATTAGATCACTTCGCTGCTTTATTCATTGCCAGATTCGCTATGTCTAATGAGCATTTTGAGTTTACTTCTCCTCCCGGAGCGCTATTCAACTGTTCTGTATGGTAAGTCTTTTTTGTTTTGTGATGATTTTTATCTTTCAGCAACTGATCGTTTTCGCTGTCACCCATCGAGAGAGAGAGATCTTCAGTGGAGTAGTTAAGAAATTTAAATGTCATAGGAGATAGGTTAAGGAAGAACTTTTTTAATTTTTAGGTCTCTTTGTTTTCCCAAACTTAAGATATTCGTCGAAATGTTTTGCGCAAATTTACAGAGCCTAGTATCGAGTCGCAATTGTCGTGGGTGTATCTTTGGTTCACCAACATTGCCGCTGAAAAATAGTGCAAAAAATCTGGAATTTACTTGGCTATCTAGCCCACTGATTATCTAAACTGAAACAACAAACATGTACGAAAGCACTTTTTCTAACACTTAATTTCCTAAAAAGGCTCAAAAGTCGACAGATAAGTCTATATTTTTCGACAACGCAGAGCTGTATGCCAAGCATCCACCATAACTCTGAACTTCAAATTGCGCTGGTTTCCAAACCCAGCTTGAAGATGCCAGGTGAAAATCTGCAATAAAGCAAGGCTTAACCTGACATTTAAGGAGAACGACCGACAGCATTCAGAGCATTCATAAGGCAGAAGTTCTTTTTAACTGTGGAACTATATTCGCATTTCCTGGGAAAAGAGATCATAAGCGAAATTGTAATTTTCTTTTGGCAAAAGGACGAGATGTTTAAATATTAACGCTAGGAAAATCATTAACGCACACTTGCTTACTTCTGTGATCGAGCTGTACTAAATAGTTTATACTTCAGCAGTTGTCTTTCTGAGAGGAGAGAAATGTTGCTCATCCCTCAGGAATTTGACCAATTAGACGAAATAGTAATTTGTCAAATAACAGATTTACGTTCTGCGTTTGTTTTGACTCTGAGTTATGAATCATTGTTCCATGGTTAAATTCCACTTTCCTTCGACAACTTTTACAATTGTAGCTGTTTGAACTGAATTCCTTGCTAGCAGGGGCCTCTTTGAAGGAATTACTTGACTTATCAATACTAGTTTTGTAAGGAAATGTACTAAACTCTCTTGATTATCTTTTACTTTGAAGCCTATCGACAATGGTTAAGCCTGTCACTCTGGCATGTGGGCATTCGGGCTGTCGACACTGCCTCGCGACACTCATAGGCATTGAGACTTTCCCCAAATGCCCACTTTGTAAAGCACCGATCGGAACAGATGTTACCCTCCACGTCAATGTCGCACTCGACGATATCATTGGAGACTTTAATGTCAAGTGTAATAAGAGCGGCTGTCTATGGAAAGGAAAATTTCACGAGCACGAGCAGCACTTGAAAACGTGTGGAAAATTTCAAACGGCGTGTGCCAATGATGGCTGTGGAGAGATGGTGGCAAGGGAGAGGATGGCAGCACACACTGCGCAATGTGCAAAGCACAAACTCCCTTGCCAGCAATGCGGTAGAAAAATTACCAGGGAATCTTTCGAGGAGCATACTGCTTCCCTTTGCTCAAATAAGAGGGTACTGTGTCCACTAAGCTGCGGAACAAGCCTTCCACGGTAAGATATTGTCGGTTTAATTAAGAAATCAACAGTCAAATGGTTATTTAAGGCCAACAAAATATCCAAAAGTTTCACTAGCCAGCTCATCCCTGGTCCTTATTTTGATTATTTTGCAGGCTCCACTTAACACTGCACTTAAGCGAGTGCTCAGAAAGAGCGGTCCGCTGTGCGGTGACTGGCTGCACTGCCATAATAAAGCAGAAGAACATGCCACAGCACTCGACAAATGCAGCCGCCACCCACAGTGTTCTGCAGGAAGGGGAGGTCCAGCGTCTGCGGGGCCTAATGCATTTCAAGGTGAGACGCTAGAATTATAAAAATAATGAGAAAAGATATCACATGAACATGAACTGAACATTCGGTTTCATTTCAGAGAGCCAAACCGAGATGGATTTTGGAAGAAAGAGGAGTGTTCTCCTTCCGCTGGAGGGGAGAGAAATGGAATAACGTGAAGGGGTCACACCTATTCAGCACTGAGTACAGGTGCCCGAATGGGAACAGCTGGAGGGCGCATATACGATTTGCAGGACTTTCCTTGGAACTGGTGTCCGCAGTGACGGCAGTGGTAGTAGGAACGAGGTTAGGGACTCATC